TATTTTAGTAAGAGGAAATTAAAAAAAGAGATATGTTATGTCTCTATAACTTCAATATGACTGTGGACACGTTATACCTAAACACAGTTCTGCTAAAACAGCTTATAAAAGGTGATTTTCATCATAGGCGCCCTTTGAGACTACTTTTACAAAAGATATCACATCTGTTTTTGGTATTTTTGTGCAAGTTGTCTGCTTTCATCATTTCAGTCTCTGACACTGAATTAAAAATTTGACAGGGTTTGTTTAACCTGAATTATGTAACCATGCCCTCCTAAAAACGACTTCAACTTGTCTGGGCCCCAATTAAAATGTAAAACTCAGGTCATCAGCAGAACTTTGCACTGAAGTTGTAAGAAGAAGGTGAAGACAGCTGGCCTAAGCTAAACGACAAGCATCATGAAGACGCCACTGATAAGCCACTTGAGAGAAGGTTCATGAAATATGCCTGCTGCAGACAGCTCATGCAGAAAACTAAGGCTTAAAATAAACCCATTCCCCCTGTTCATGCCTCACTTACAGTCTGCCTTCTTTCAGACCACTCTGTAGCTGCCTAATTTCACTCTCTTTGGCCACAGAATTCTTACCATTAATTTTTGTAGTGAACTAAAAAGAGGAGCCATTAATATATGAACACTGTAAAAAAAATCTGTAGAATTTACGGTAAAAAAACAGCAGCTGTGGTTATTATTATTTTACCATAAAAAAATAACCATAAAACAAATGTAACATTTTCAAGATATTTACTTAATTTAGAGTGTTAATACACCAATGTTTTGAAGTACAAACATTCACAAGTCATATCATTTGTTACACAGACCATAATCATATGGTTATGAGAATGTCAGAATCACACACAGCTTTTCCCACAAGCAGAGAAAGATATTAATATAGAAGACACAGTGTCATTTACACAACTACAAAACACCAGCATGGTAACAGACATACAATTTACTGTAAGTAATAAAATAAACATTATTTAGCAACAATAGATGTAATGAAACTCCAATGTACTTGTATATAAACAATAATCTTTTCGAAAAGCATAAAAAGAGAAGAGTCATGCAGGGAATTCTGGGACAGTCAATTTATGGTTATTCATCATATACCCTGACACAAGTATTGTCACCCATCCAAGTTTTAGAAATATCAAACAATAACTTGACTTCTAGTTGATCATTTGGTATCAGAGGTGGCTTATAAGAAAAGCAAAAGCCTCTTGATTGTACTTATTTTGCCAAAATAAAATATGATTATGTCTTGATTTTGAATTATTTCATTAGGACAGTAAGGTCTGACTTTGCTTAGACAAAAGTCTTGTCACTTAACAAAAGTAATTTATAGTATAGAATATAAAGTCATGGTGCAGTGGAAAAATAATTAATATTGTGAATGACTCCCTTGAGCTTGGAGGACTGCATCCATACATCTTTCCATTGACTCGAATAACTTATTAATAAAGTCATCTGGAATGGCAAAGAAAGCAATTTTGCAGGACTCCCGGAGTTCATAAGACTCTTTGGATTCATCTTCAATGCCTCCTCCTTCATCTTACCCCAGACATGCTCAATAATCTTCATGTCTGGTGAGTGGGCTGACCAACCCTGGAGCACCTTGACCTTCTTTGCTTTCAGGAACTTTGATGTGGAGAGTGGAGCTTGAGAGAAGCTCTATCCTGCCGCAGAATTTGCCCTCTTCTGTGGTTTGTAATGTAATGAGCAGCACAAATGTCTTGATACCTCAGTATGTTGATGCTGCCATCCACTCTGCAGATCTCTTGCACACCCCCATACTGAATGTAAGCCCAAATCATGATTTTTCCTTCACCAAACTTCACTGATTTCTGTGAGAATCTTGGGTACATGTGGGTTCCAATAGGTATTTTGCAGTATTTGTGATGATTAGGATGCAGTTCAACAGATGATTCATTGGAAAAATCTACCTTCTTTTACAAATGATATACTTGAAGTCAAGTTATTATTTGCTGCTCTTACAATTGGGATCAACGACAGGACTTTTGTCAGGTAGTGCATAAAAAGGAAACTTACTGTTAACCCCTTTAGACCCTGTGTCCATTGGAATGGACATCACATGACATCCCATGTTTTTTTCACTTTCGAAGCATTTCACCAAATTTTAATTCCACAGTCCCTGAGAGTGGACAATTTTCATCCAATCAAATGGCAGTAAGGCTCTGCATGACATAATTTGAAATAAAAATAAAAATCCACTAAACTAAAAAGCAGCATGGCAGCACTTCATTCCAAACACAGAAGTAAGCCCCATTTACATGGTTTTATTCAGATGTATTGATAAAGTTACAAATCGATTGTAGAATTGCAAGCTTTAGATCAGAATTTTTTTAAAGTGAGGTTACAGTTTCGTTTTGTGCTTAAATCATGGGAAATTCATTTGGAAATTTATAATGCTAAGCATAATTTCTAATAAATAGCCCTCCATTGAGTTCTTAACTGATAGGTCTTGACCAAAAACAATTGTTCATATGCTGTGATCAAAGTGTCAGAATCAATCTATTTATGGCATAACCCTCATATATCCAATTAATTAGCATCAAGCATTTACAGTAGCACTTTCATTGTATATTACAATAGTTGCAATAACAAATGTCTGACTTGAAGTTTCCCAGGTACACTTGATTTCCAATGGTGGAAAGAGCACTAAAAATCATGCTTAGGTTAAATTACATTACTTGCTAAAAAGTGTTACTAAATAGAGTAAAATGATCTGTTCTTTATTCTACTCATAGTATGAGTAAAAAGTAGCCCTTCTAAAAGTGATTTAGAGTAGTATTATCTCCTGCAACTTAAAAATGCAAAATACATTAGAGCCATTTTGTTTTAAGGGTGTTGCTAAGTGTAAATTAAAATATATAAACCTCGTAGTGTATACATTTAAAATGTGATATTAGAAGACGAGTTTACATTGGATTAAAATCTGTGTAATTTAAAAAGCAAAAATCTAACTGTGATAATATGTTATTGTGTTTGAACCCTGACTAACAAGCTACAAGTGTCCAGCAACTGGTGTTGCAAACCAAGCTTGTTCAGTATAGAAATAGAATGCATACTATTTGTGCTGACGTAACGTTCGGTAGCACATTTAGCTTAGGGGTGCTTTTACACCTAGACTTTCATTTCGGAATCTGTCTCATTTACCCAGTTAGCGCGGTTCGTTTGGCATATGTGAATCCACCAATCGCACTCAGATCCTCGCCAAAACAATCGCTCCGAGATTGCTTGAATGAGGTGGTCTGGGCTCGATTGAAACGACCTCCGGAGCGAATCAATTGTAGTGATAAAGCGATACGATCCGAGCCCGGTTATATCACAGTGTTTAATGGATATGTAATAGGCATACGGCTATATGAAGAGAGAATTATGAGTAGGGCGAGAGGTCATACCAGACATCCCAAGTCTCCCAGAAGTTTCGGGAGTCTCCCGCAAATGCACGGAGACACCAGGATGCCCGCAAACGAGTGATAATTTCCCAGAAATTGCGCGTCTACCTCCCGGTCCTCAAATACGTTGTGTACCTTTCTCACCTCTTCCCACCACATCCCTCCTCACCCCTTCCCACCGCATCCCTCCTCGCTCTTCAGACACGTTGCGTGCACCTTGTCAAACACCACCAAACCACCCCCACCCCCACCCCCGGACTCAAATAAACGAAGCAAAATAAACCATGAAACTCTGACCAATGTGAGGAGAGTTTACTCACAAGTGACTTGTTTTAGCTCTTTTGGTTCTTTTAGAAACTTTCCAGTGTGAAAGCGAATCGCACAAAGAGCAAAGAAAAACAATGTAACTATTTTAATCCCTGTTTCGGAACAACTGAATCGATTAACAGGTGTGAAAGCACCCTAAGTCAAGTTGGTGATTTCAGTCATTAAAATAAAATCTCTAAAATTCACAGTAAAACAAAACAGCAGCTGTAAAGGCTAGCATTTAGCACTTAAATATGTGATAGGATCATAAAATGAATTTTTATATGTTCCGGTAAATTACTGTATATTTGTCCTACACCAATGGTTTGAAGTACATAACCAATAATCCCTAATGGCAGCTGTGGTTCCTGCTATTTTACCATAAATATCATGGTACAAACCTTAAAAGAACTTTCTAATACTTATGTTAAACTACTGTACCAAAATAGTAACTACAACTGTTTACATTTTACCGACCCCTCTTCTTAACCGCTCTCCCTTCCTGTCCATTGTTCAAGTTAACTTTTTCTTCCGCGACTTCTCAACCCTCTTTACTTTCGCAGTACACCACCAAAAGCCCTAATCCCTCTCCACCCCACCCACTTTTAATGCTTCTACAGTTTGTTTATTTGCTGCATTCATAAAGCCTCTGTTTTGAGGTTGGTCTGTGATGCCATGTTTCTATGTGCGATTGACTGAATGGGAACTAAAGGACTAATTATTTTACTAGCCAATCACTGCAGACAAAAAATAAAGTTGTGAATGCAGGCTGAAAATTATTAACACAGTAAAAATATGGAGACATAACTAAAATGAATGAAAGTTAAAGTAAAAGTACACATTTTTAAAACTACTTAATCATAACAGGAAATACTATGATGGGATTTTTGTGGTATTTACTATAATATGAAATACTGTGAGGTGTTCCCTTGCTCTGTTAAACAGCATTTTTAACAGGGCAAGGACTGTTGGCAATTTGTCAATATATCATTTTCTTCATTTTGTTTATTTTATTTACTCATTTTCATATCACTTTTTTGACTGCACATTATTCTGTCATGTTTCATTATTTAGAGACAAACCAAATTGTTGTTTGTTGTGTTTTTATATTCAAGAATTTATAATCTAGATTAAACTTTTTGGGATCACATTGACTGTTCTTCTACTTTTATACCTAAGAGAGTGTTTATACATTTGAATGGCTTTATGGGCATTAAAACAGTAAACATTTAGTAAAGCTTTTGATATATTTAATTAGCTCTGGTCTCATCTACAGGTTCTCTCTTGGCACTGGGCTTCATCCAGACTGGATGCTAATGTTATTTTTCGTCCATACACACCTGACAGTGACCGTTACTCTGGGATTGCTTCTCATTCCAAAGGTTATTATCATTGTTCTTACATCTATAGTTGTCTACAAACAGCTTATATTGCTGCTTTGTTTACTTTTTTGAGAAATGTTCACATTTTGCTTCATCCTTCACTGCAGTTCTTGTTCACTGGGACTCATGCACGGGAGGATATAGCCACAGAGGCTTATGAAGATGAGCTGGATATGGGTCACTCGGGTTCCTGTCTGAACAGCAGCATAACGTCGGCCTGGAGTGAGCACAGTCTGGATCCTGAGGACATAAGGGTAAGCTCAAAGAATAAGTATCATTATTGTAATAATATTTTTCTCCATGAAACTATTGTGGCACAAAGTGGTCCAGTGAGTAGCGCTGTCACCTCACAGCAAAAAAATTTCAGGTTTGAGTCCCGGCTGGGTCAGTTGGCATTTCTGTGTGGAGTTTGCATGTTCTCCCCATGTTCGTGTGGGTTCCCTCCCAAAGACATGCACCATAAGTGAATTGGGTAGGCTAAATTGTTTCGTAGTCTATGTGCATATATCCTGGTCTTCCAGGTTAGGGGTTGAGCATTGGGCTAACGCCCCACCTCATAAAAATTTGAGGTTACAAAACACCAACATGGTGCGGCTAAATTTCAACTTCGATATAAGCAGGCCTGGGACTAAGTAAGTATGAAACTATTGTGGAGTTTTAGTAAAATTCAAGATAACGCTTCTTTATTATGCATACAAGAGTATGGCAAACACACCAAAAGCAGTGCTTATTTGAACTTTGAGCCTTATCAACTATTGAACTGTAACCTATTTCAACTCTGACCAAAATAAAAGAAATGCAGCCAACAGTCTTAAACGTATATGGATGTAAATGTGAACCAGAAACAATGGAATACATTTTTAACAATGGTAGTGAGAATGCAATTGGTTTTATGTGTGGTTAACATGATTTAAATACTATGCAAGGACAATTAAAATGGTTTATTTTCATTGTAATTCTAACTCCAAGTCCTAATACACTTTAAATATTGAATCTGTTTGCTTAAGATTTTTTTTTTTTTTTTTCAGATATTACTTTTTTAGTTAATGAACATGAATCTGCATTCTAAAACTCCAGCTACTTTTAAATGAGCATAATTGAAATATAAAATATATTGGCAAATGTGCACTCCTCACAATTACATCTTTTAAACTCATATTTTTAGTAGGACGCTTTACAATATTATATTTGTTCACATAAAGTGTGTTGTAAGCCTGCTTTTGAGTGAAGATCTCGGCCGTTAGATCGCGCACTGGGGGCGGGCTGCAGTACAAGTCATAAAGCCCGCCACCATTGTGTTAATGAAGGAGACTTGAGCCCAAATAAAAAAAATTATCACACTTGCAATAAAATGTCCAGAAAAAGGGTTTTGGTCAATTAAAGCACAGGTTATCGTGCTGATTTCAGTGCAGATCTTCATTTTTGTAAACAGTATGGGCTCTATTTTGACGGTCCATGCGCAGAGCGCAAAATGCAGGGCGCAAACGCTTTCAGGGTGTGTCAGAACGCATTTTTGCTACCTTAAGGACAGGAAAATCCGCTTTTGGTCTAAAAGGGTTGAGTTTATTTTCTTAATGTGTTATAGGTGTGTTTTGAGAATAAACCAATCAGAGTCTCATCTTCCATTACCTATAAGAGACAGCTGCGTCGCGCCATAAGCGCATTTGCTATTAACATTACGTAAAGTAAGTTCACTTTCACTTTTGCTCTCGTGGATAGGGAAACCTTACCGCACAGACATCAATTAGCCTCTAAATAATTAATTTCGTTTGTTAAGCGCAAAGATTTGTTTCAAAACTATTTCTAAATTCAGTTCTAATTTCCAGCAAACGAATAAATGATTAATTATAACAAAGTTTGGTCAAAATACTGAGTTATTTCCAAATACACCTGCTATGCCCCATATGGTCTAAAACCTGACAAGTGGACAAATCTAAGCTTGTTTTTAATAAAAACAAATATAAATATGGATATAATAAATAATACTGCTAATAATAATAACATTATACAAAAGCAAATTGAATGAACTGAAAAAGCCTCCCGAGATGAAGAAAGTATGAAGGCAGTGGTTTTTGAATTCATCTAGGCTAGAAATTAATATGTTTTGTAATATTTGAATCATTTATATTTATTTCCTATATATATATCCTTAATATATTATATCTTTTTCATATGTAAAGATATTTGCGTATTGCATCTTGTTTTTAGTGTGTAAGCCAGGCGCACTTTGCGCCAGACAATAGACCGACTTTGTTCTGGTCTAAAGAACAGACTATTTACAGTTTCTCAAAATAGCAACACACCAAAACACGCCTGCTTTTTTAGACCAGAACGCCTATGGGCGCACATTTGAGCTATTTAAACAGCGTGGCGCAATGCCTCAAAATGACCCTTGCGCCAAGTTTAAAGTAGTAAAAGACTATTGCGCTGCGCCTTGCGCTACATTGCGCCGGGTGTATGATAGGGCCCTATGTTTTTAGCCAGTAATTTATTGCTTGGAGTGTCATCGTGCTTGACAGTTATGATTGACAGATTCTCAAAGCAGACGTCGAAAGCTTCGGGAGGAGATTGAAGTGGTATTATTCAATTTCTGTGTTATTTTACCATAATAAAATGAGTTCAGCAGTAAACTATACTTTCTGACATTCAGGATCTGGTGGAACACTGTTTATTTGGTAAGGACAGGGCTTTAACGGTCTTTGTTAGTTTGCTGATACATATATTCAGTTTTATATTCGCACATCTGTTCATTTAGCAGTCTCTATATTGTTTACCATGTTACTTTGATTAATCGATCAGAATTAACATGCAAGTATGACTTCTAAATAACATTAACACAATCTAATTCACTGTGAACAATGTCATACTTTGATAGTCATGTGCAGCTAATATGATTTCCCTATTTAGAATTTGCAAAGAATACTTTTCTGAAAATATATTATTAAGGAGAACGTCTGAATATTCAAATATAAAACCAACTACCTCTATTGTATATTTTGGGTCCTGTTGATTGCTAATTTAAAATGAAAACCTTTCTAAAAATGTATGTGCTGTTTACTTGTTATTGTTCATATTTTACACGTGTTATTTCTACGCCTTTTAATATAACAACCAACAACCCTGTTATAAGAGAAATATTTTATTTTTTTGGGCTCATATTAGTCTAACTCAGGCTGGAGTGTATGAATGATTGTTTATTTCTGCAGTCTAACATGCTTTTATTATATTATAACAGCTTACATCACACAGTTTTTAAATCATATATCATTACGTGTTTTAAATGTAAGTGCTTATATTTATATTAGCAGGCCTTCGCGGTCAAGTGGGAAGTTCAGGGGGTCTGGTTGATTTGATGTACAAGGGTTGGTTTGAAAGCAACTCCTTCTCTGGCTCCATCAGGCAGTTTTTCTGCGCATGCCCAGCCTCCAATTTCAGCAGTCTTTTGCAACAGTTTGTGCCTGTCACGAGGCATTTAATGGGAAAAGGAGCTTTCGCGTCATCCATATCTTATACAGTTATCATTATATTAGTCAGTACTGAAGCCAAATCTAGAGCTTAACTAACAAAATAACTTGATTACATTCCAAAAACTATTACACCTAAATTTATATGTTATAATAAAATATTAAATACTAATTTAAAAATCAGGAGAATTTTTTTTTTTTAAATTTAGTTGGAATATTGTTTGAATAGGTTGTAATTTGTTTTTGGAATATTTTGCTTGAATTTAATTGTATTATCTTTCAATTTCTAAAAATGTTTGGTGACTAAAATATTAATTTTAATAAATATATCGGTTTATTATCTGTTTTGTTTGAATGCACCAAAATACATTGCCTATATTTACTATGAAATGGATACAAATATTCATTTTCAAAATGGGTTGTATTTAATTATGCTGAGCACTGTAACTACAGATGTAATGGTATGACATTTTCATATTACAATTATAGTGACCAAAATTATCACTGTTATGAATATTATCACACTTTTGTTACAATTATCTAGAAAAAAAAAAAAAGTATCGCACACTCTTAAGGCCATCGACAAAATATTGTATCTAAAAATGAACAAGCAACAAATTAAATTTGCAGATTTATGCAGTTTTATGACAAACAAAATGAATAGATCTCTGCATTTTATATGAGATTTTTTATGCTTTTTATTATTTCAATGCCATTGTTAGTTGTGTGTTTTATTGGTAGATTTGTCTTATTTATTGTATTGTTTGTTTATGCTGCACTTGTAAAGCTAACTCAAAAGTGATTCACATTTACATTGTTTTTCACTAAACTGCACGAGGTCTGTTTTTTAAAGCCTATAACGTTGTGCGATTTAACAAAAAAAAATAGATTGCCAATTTTTTTTAGACTGATACTACAAATTTCACTAAATACTCTTAATAGTGTGCACATATTTTAAATAAAAGAATATCAATGATTTTAAGTGTATGTACAAATAAATATTCATTAACTGTTAACATGCATTAACTGTAAACAGCCTTTCTCAATTAGATCATTGCTTTGTTAAAGGAGTTACCATGAGTTTTCAAAATCACAATGATCATTAACAGTTTTAATATTGAAAATGGAAACAGTCCGAAAATGTACCATGGTTTCCTTTTAAACTGGTAATTGTGAAAAGAAAACTTGTAACCTATTAGGTTCCCATTAGGTTCTTTCTTTCTTATAAAGCAATGCAAAAAAGAACCAATGAGGTTGTGGCGAAGGGGCGAAGCCGAGATCTGCAGGAACAAGACGAGGCTGGCGCTTGAGTGAGAACAAAAAGTACCTAGGCGCACACTGGCCTCGAGTCCCGCAAATGAGCTCTGGATTATAAGATGAGGAATGACGACAGGAGGAGAATGAGAGAGGTCCAAGCCTGCACATGTGTGCGAATATAATAATTTTAAACTGCCTCCTGGTCGTCGGGAAGAAGGAGGAAGAGATCTGATGAAATTTAAATAATTTATTAAAGACAAAAACAAACAAAAAGACGAACTGAAAACAAATACAACATAAATGTAAAAAAATATGTTTAATAATATAAATAATTAAACATAATCCAGAGCTCCTCCGCTGGACTCGTTTCGTGCCTATGCCACTTGGCTCCACCCCCTCACTATCCTCTATTCCCAGATTTAGAGTTGCGGAAGAGTTTTGAGTGAATAGGCCTCAGTGAAAACACAAACAATTATCAGATTTCATAATATTTCTAAATATCTTTATTTGTATTATAGGGATTAATGAAAGTCTTATGTTTTTAGAAAGACATAATGTTGAGTGCCAAAATGATAATGATTTGCATTAAACTAATCATTTAGTAACCTTTGTCCTGGAGTAGGGTCTGTCTGTGGACTGCAAGACAGGGGGATAACATGAAAAGACCTTAGGGGGATAACTTGTAGTACATTAGAGGTGTAACTTGAACTTATGGAGACATGTCAAAACTATGTTGTCGGCAAGATCAATCATTAGTGTCCACAATTACTCCACACCTGAACTCAACCATTACAGTTATTAATGTCTACACCAACCTCAACACTAAAGCCAACCATCATTGTTATTAAGGTCTACACCATCCCCAAACCTAAACTCAACCATCATTCTGTAGTTATTGTCTACACCTTCTCCAACCCTAAACCCAACCATCACAGTTATTAACGTCTTCACCTATCACAGTCCTAAATCCAACCATCATAGTTATTAATGTCTACACCTAGCTCAACCCTAAACATAACCATCACAGTTAATAATAACGTCTACACCTATCACAGCCCTAAATCCAATCATCATTAATGTCTACACCCATCTCAACCCTAAACCCAGCCATCACAGTTATTAATGTCTACACTTATCACAGCCCTAAATCCAACCATCATAATTAACAATTTCTACGCCTATCTCAACCCAATCATCACAGTTATTGACGTCTACACCTACTCCACACCTAAACCCAACTATCAAAGCTATTAACGTCTATACCCACCACCAATGTCTACACCTTCCCCAAACCTAAACCCAACCATCACAGTTATTAACGGACAGGCGCAAGTTGCGGAGACTTTCATACTTGACACGCTCGCCATTGTACTGTTATTTGCAACCACAGGGGTCAACGAAGAGGAGGCAAATTGTAATGACAAATGGGATGAAGAAGTCAGCGAGTGGAGGTGCATGGTTGAGTCACTAAATGAATGAATATAATAATATATCAATTGAATTGGTTTTGAATAAATTTGGGGAAAATCCATGAAAACATTTGATGAAAATATTCTCCCAAGTATTTCTGCCGTCTTGCCAACAATATCTCGCATGGTTTAATGGAATCTCGATAACTGCAAGTTCCACCTCTAACTTACTACAAGTTACCTCCTTTCATCTTGCACCTCTGTCTTGCAGTCCACAGACAGATACACTTGTGGTTATGGGAATCCCCATGCTTTACATTTTGAATATCTCTTTATTATTATTATTATTACATCAGCAAAGAATAGGATGAAAACCATGACTGTGTAATCTGTGTGTGCTATTTGCCTTTGTCAGGAGGAGCTGAAGAAGCTCTATTCCCAACTGGAGATCTATAAAAGAAAGAAGATGCTGGCCAATAATCCTCACTTACAGAAAAAACGCAGTTCCAAGAGGGGGCTTGGCCGGACACTTATGCGGCGTATCACAGAAATACCTGAAACTGTGAGTCGCCAGTATAGCCGGGAAGATAGAGATGGCAGTGACCATGGGAGTAACAGAAGCACACTAAGGAGAAACCCCTTTGATCCATCTCACTCTGGGAAGTCAAGGGAAGAATCTCTGAAGAGCAAGATGTTCTCACTCAAGAGATCTCACAGCTACGATCATACACACGACCAAGGTGGACAAACCAATGGGGTGCCTGGAGACAAAATGGAGAATTCCACAACTGAGGCATCTCTGCTTGACACCTTGATGGGGCGGAGGTCCAACAAGAAGAACCCTGAGGTACCAAAGGTGGAGTTAGCTGAATCTACGGAGTCAGTGCCGTTAGTATGCAAATCCGCCAGTGCGCATAACCTAGCGGCAGAAAAAAAGCCTGTACATCTTCGTACCTCAATGTTGCAGAAGTCACTGTCTGTCATTGCTAGTGCCAGAGAAAAGACGTTAGGCATTGCAGGGAAGACTCACAGTGTGGAGGATGCCAATAAGAAGGGCCTCAAAGCAAGGGAAGGCACAGCGCTTTCAGAGGTTGATGAATCCCCTGAGTGTTTACCAAAAATGATCATCAGCCAATCGGTTGAGTACACCAAAACACCTAGTAAGATGGGCATCATGAAGCAGCAGGTGAGCGGCAGTCAGCCCTCCATTTGTTCAGAACCAGGGAAGAGCAAGGAGCTGTACGACCTCTCTGAGGTCTGCCCTTGGGAAGTGGAGGATTTACCAACTCCATCAGAAGGCAAGTCTCAGAAACATGTTTCCATTGCCCCCAACGAAACCACTACAATCCACGGCAGCAGTGCAAAAAGTGGACATAAGTCTCAACACAAACAAAAAGGCTTGGGCCAATCTCCGTCAAACCGCCGTCGCTCCAGAGATAAGACTGGGGAAAGGGATGAAGGGAGGAAACCCAAATCCCCTCTCAATCTCACTACTCACAAAGATGCAAGTGCATGGAACTTTGAAGATTCATCACTCCAAGCTATGGACACTGCGGGACTGTCCCCTGAGAGAATCAGTCGCAAGAAAAGTGTCACCCCAACAGACGGAAAGCCCAAGATTTTCCTCTCAGATATCTCCAAGTCCACAGGAAGCCTTTTGCAGCCTCCAGCTCTTATGGTGGATATCTGCCCTTGGGATTTTGATCCCCCCCTGTCCCCCAACCAAGACAAAACATCCAGCCCCATACATCATTCAAAGAGAAGAGATTCTTCCTCCAAAAGAAAAGGATTGTCTTCTAAAGAGAAAGCGATGAAGGATAAAGATGATGAAAAACGAAGCTCTAAAATTAAGGAGCGGAGAAGCTCCTCAAGCAGAACCTCCGAGAAACGACGTACAAGCCAATCATCAGAGGGTGATCAAGCTGCCATGGTGGCATCCAGCAGAAGGAGGAGCTCGACTAGAGACACCGCTTTCAGCAGCAGTAAGCGTACTGAAGTTTGCCCCTGGGAGACAGAGGCACTATCAAGTGTTACCTCACATGATAAAGATACTCCATCAACTGAAAACCACACAACCCAAACACCACCCACTTACCTCAACATGGCTGACGTTTGTCCATGGGACTATGATGAGAAGTCAGGAAAAAGTGCATGACACTACACTCACGATGTTAGACCATTTTAGCAAGGTTTATGAGATGGCAGATTCCATATTTAAAAGTTAAGACCCGTTCACACCAAGAACGTTAACTCTAATGATAATCAAATTAAGTGCACACTGCGGTTATGTTGTCTGCTGCTTAAATACTCGAAGTCCTTAAAAGTGAAATCTGATTGGCTGTCAATGTTTTCATCATTCTGCAGCTGAAATGTTTTTTTCTGAAAGTGATTGCAGTTATATAAATCCTCTGTGTCAATATTGTTCAGACTGTGGTGTGACTTTCTTATTCTCATAGAACTAGATCAGTCTGTTGTTATAGTTATTCTACTTGGTGTAAGCGGGCCTTTATCCCTATGTTTATGCCTGTTAACTTCTTTTATGTGTCATCTTTCATTTTATTTGTTCATTGCTTTTTGATAATTCAGTGGCTCTCCTAATGGCACATTTTTATTAGGATGTTGAAACAACAGTTCCATAGTGAATTAGAATACCAACAATCTTTTTGATGATTGTTTTTGTCACTAAGAACCAGAAACTTCAAAAGGAAAATAAATAAATACATTTATTATAAAAAAATAATAATGAAGTAATTAAAATACCACAGTGGGATTTCAGTTTAATCAATTTTAAAAATAGTTTTTAGGGTTATGCTCAATTGGAGAAAGTGGGGTAAGATGAGACACATCCTGTTTCTACGGAACTGCATCAGTTTTTATGCAGTGTGTATTTTAAAGACACAGTTTTGCTGTTTGTAATGGATTAAAGCCTGTGATCCTATTATTAATTTTGTGAATAATTCTCAGGGCAGGTTTATCACAAACATTTTGAAAATAGAAGCCAACATTTAAAAAGTATAGAAGTGGTTCTGTAACTGATTTATGAACAACTTTGATATCTTCTGGGCCTAGTTTAAAAATAATAATAATAATAATAATAATCTGGATCAAATTGGTCCAGGTTTGGAAATCACATGTTTTGCTATCCAGGATTAACTGATTAATACTTTTATGACCGTTTTAAAGGAAAATTAGGTGGGATAACTGTGATCCAATTACCAAATTTCAGGATTAGTAAATACTGTTTATCAGAGCCAGTCCCGTGCAGAGACTATCCAAGGGGCATGTGTAGGATAAAACTTTTTAATAACCGGGGTTGGGGGTTAAGGATGGGTGGTTGGGGGGTGTCGTGAACTGAAGAGCAGAGGCGAGTTTTGCCGCGCGCTAACTGAAGAGCAGAGGGGGATTGTCACGTACTGAAGAGCGGGTTGGGGGGAAGGAGCTCTCGGGGTTGTCGCGGGGGCAATTCAGATCATTTTTTAAGGGCACTTGCTATTCAAGGCTAAAAAGGCCATGTGCACTGCACAGGTTGAGCCCTATGTGTGCACGTGCCTGATCAGAGCCTTGAATGGAACCAACAGTGTAGCCTGCTGGCTTAACAAAGAACAATAGGTAGGCAAAATACCAGTGGCCACAAACAGCCATTGTTTGTTTTAATGTCAAGAAGCAGAAACACTGCAATTAATAAATTTTTGACATGTTTTAGTTTGTTTTAATACAATACTGCTTCGATATCTCAATACTGATTGTTTACCATATCTCATTAGATCTGATATGCTTCATATAGACTTCAAATATAAAGGACTGTATATAACATACGTAACCATAACGTTTGTGATCATTCACTTTAAGAGCCCCTATTATGGGTTTTTGAAAATGACCTTCCATGCAGTGTGTAACACTGCTCTTAGTGAAGTGAAATATCCAGCTAAGGCTTAAATCTGAAAGTGCACCATGTTTAAAACTATTGATTCATCTATAAAATAGTTGACTCAAAGTGAATGAATCGCCACGGAAACAAGGTTTTAGCCGTGCCGGCGTGACGTCAATATGGAACTCAAGCCCGTCTATCTACTGTGCGCGCAGACCTGGAAAAACTGGAACCCCCGGCCCACGCTCACAAACACTGTAGAAAGAAAAAGAGGAAGACAAAAACTATAGCAGATTCTGGTTGAATAATATCACGTAGACGCTGTGCTCTGAGGTGTGAGGGAAAGTTAATGTTATTTTCCCTACCGGTCAGTGGTAGAAATTTATTTTTGCAAACATACCTCAGCATTATAGCCTCAGCCTTGTTTTTACAGCCTTGAAATTACAGGTGTTTTCTGGTAAAAATAACAAAACAGGAGGATGGCGGGAGATGGATTTGAAATATGGGTGACTTACCTGCGAACAGGAGTGTTCGTAAGTATGCTCACACATATACTCTGCAATCTGACAACTTCAGAATTGTTGCTAAGCTGTGGTGGGCATTTCACTCTGTCTCACGCTGAACGCAGTCAACCAGTCAAAACAGACTGGGTCATCGGACCAATCAGCACAGATTAGCATCGCGCAAAAGAAAGATTTGGGAACTAATAAATCTTTGAACAAATTATATGGGAGTCTTTGGGAAAATTAGGTAAAATTAAATGCATATTATAAGACCATAAAAGTGTTTTTTGACCTTTCATGCATAACAGCCTGTTCTTGGAGACCCCTAAAACCAAAATATGACCCTTTTAAATGCATAATAGGGTTTCTTAAAAAAAATAATATATATATATATATATATATATATATATATATATATAATTGGATTATTTATTTATTTTTTTTTTAATCACAACTGAATCAACCCTTCTGATGAGTGTTTTTTTTTTTTATCAAATTGATCCCAATCTGAGTTCAAAGTTTTTGAATAAAAGGCAGGTTTGATCCAAATCAAATGTAAGATTGGATTACATGGCAAGACCTCTGTTACTTTTGAAACTTTTGATCCAATTTGTGATGCAAAATCTCACTGCATTACTTTTGAAAAACTAGGCCCTGTACATTGTACATTTTAGTAAATTAGATGAAAACTATCTAATTAAATCGTTTATTTATTTATTTTAATTTAATTTGTTTTTGTTATTTGTTTTTTTTTTAAGAGTGGTCATGGGAAAAAACTGGGGCAAGCTCAACATGAAAAATACAATTCAAAAACTGAATGGTATAAAGGTTTTCCTACAACAGCATTAAAATTGGCTCATCTTACCTCATGCCTTGGTTTTCTGTCTTAAACTAATAAAATACAAAAAAACTTTAATAAATTACATGTATTCACCTAGTGCCCAATTGAAATGAGAATGGTCAACAGTATTAAGAAATTATTTTTAAAAATATACAGTATATACCATATCGCTCATAAAATAGCAGTTTACTGTATTACATACCAAACATGTTTCATTCAACATATTCACATTTTATTTTTTATTTATTTATGTATGTATTTATTTAATTATTTATTTATATATTTATTTTGGGGGGTTGGGAGTGGTATATTATGGGCTATTTTTCACATGCATGGGTTTAGACATGGTCTAAAACAGAGGTGTCCAAACTCGTTCCTAGAGGGCCGGTGTCCTGCTAAGATTAGCTCCAACTTTCTTCAACACAAGACCAAGACCAAGTTTGGACACCCCTGGTCTAAAATGTTTCAAACATTCCTTTTTGTCAAAAATATACAATGAATGGCAAAGACCAGACAACTGTACACCAGCAGAATGCAGTTTTATTCAGTTGTTTCCTTATTTTCTGTGAAACATTGCCATCTGTAATTGCATGAATGCAAGTACAACCAAGCTACTGTTTTAATCTATGTTGAATATTGACAGAACTGCTTTTTTAAGCATTCGTTTGATCACTGCATGGACACACTTATCTGTTGCATTGTTGTTGGTACAGGATTGTTTCCCCCATTTTTACAGAATCCTTCTTGACTGCTGTTCTGTTGTGATTCGTATCAGTATCTTCTGTCTTCTGCCACCCTATTGGTGATTGTTGCATCAATGTATACAAAGTCACATTGGCTCTTGCATGACAGTAAGTAAATCTGTCCTTCTACTGCACATTACAATCTTTATCAGCAGGAGTGTTGTGAATCTATTGAATATCTAAATGCAAAAAAATAAATAAATACATTCCTAACTTCAGTTTTATGCGGTTGTTCTTTTCAATGGCAATCCACTCCAGGAACATTTCTATTGTAAATATATATTGTGTGTTTATTTGTGATAGCATGTACATACAATACTTCCTGCAATAAATATACCGTGTTCTCATTTTACTGGTCTGCTTTATGACTCTAATCATATGCTCATATGATGAATGTTTGTCTTCTAAATCCATCTAAAACATTTGTGGGGTTTTCTCCACTCAATATTCACTAATAAAGTCACCATTAAAGGCGAGGAAAGGCAAGGAAAGTTTACTTATGTAGCATATTTCATACACAATAGTAATTTGATGTGCTTTACATAAACAACAATATAAGAAACAAGAAAACAAAATGATCAAAATAATTAAAAACAGATTAAAATGTGTTAAAAACGGGTTTTAAAGGAATGAATAAGAAAAGAAAGACATAATACCGCGATCTTTTAGACATAGCACAGTGCTCATTCAAAAGGCACAGCTAACTAGATGTGTTTTAAATCTTGTTTTGAATGTGCCTAATGTTGGAGCTGCAGCAAATTAAGCTAATAAAATTATTAATATTAGTAATTAATAAAAACAAGTTATTATTTAATTATGAATATTTGGGTTGACTTCATTGTTAATGCTAGCTAAACTAAAATTACATTAAATTGAACTGCTCGCTTGTTGTAGCTTACAGAAATCATCAAAGAAAACTAAGTTACCTTGTTTTTAAAGGGGTGGTCCGTTATGACATTCTATTTTAAAAGGCACATAGGTTACCCCTTTTTTCATATTTATTATAAGTCTTTTGTGTACCCAGAATGTGTCTGTAAAGTTTCAGCTCAAAACACCCATCAGAGTATTTATTATAGCTGTTTGAAATGTCTGCATTATAGCTGGGAAAAGGTTGTTGCTGTTTTTTTGCACTGGGCCTTTAAGGCGAGTCATCCCCGCCCACCGATCCCACGTGCCTGTCAGCAGCATGCCTCAACAAGCCCTTGGCTGCCTCAGGAAGCAGATCTCACGTAACGTTTGTGAGAAATACTACAGTAAGAACTTTACCAAACAGTATTTGATGCATTTTTTGTGGAGTTGCAACTATGAGTTCACGCAGACACACACACATAGCACAGACACGTAGCAAGACACACACGCACATACATAGCGTAGACACGCAGGCAGACACACACACAAACACACACACATAGCACAGACAAGTAGCGCAGACACACACGCACATACATAGCGTAGACACGCAGGCAGACACACACACACAAACACACACATATAGCACAGACAAGTAGCGCAGACACACACGCACATACATAGCGTAGACACGCAGGCAGACACACACACACACACAAACACACACTCATAGCACAGACAAGTAGCGCAGACACACACGCACATACATATCGTAGACACGCAGACAGACACACACACACATAGCGCAAACACACACACACAGAGACAGTGAGAGAGACACGAGGCTGTGCTGATGAAGTGAATCTGAAGTGAATGGCCACCTTTTTTATGTTGTTAAATTTGAAAAAAAAAAAGGATTGTGTTTATTTCACCCCAATATGACAGTATATACACTATACTTACACACGTCTGTCCAAACAGCTTGAAAAGTAGATTTTTCACCATAGGTGCCCTTTAAAGTTTAGTTGATGTGTAATGTAGCTGTGTGAACATAAACAACATCTCTGAATTTAAAAAGTTCTAAGTTCAATGCAAAGGGAGACCTTGGTTTTTACAGAGTTAGCTTAGCAAAGCCTACAATGAACAAATGTTGGGGTCTATAAAAAATACTTCCGCCCCCTGTGAGATCACAAAGGTTTGTTTACTGCGCACACAAACTGCGCAGCTAAGGGCCGTGGCCAGAGGCGCTGTAACATTATAGCAGAGATGGAGCTAAAAATGCGTCCAAACACTGCTGTTTCCACAGAGATTCGTCTGTTTCTATATTTGGGCTTCCAAAGGACACGACACAAAGACAGAAGTGCTTACAGTTCAATATTAATTATATTACAGAGAATTATAAAATACATAACAAGCATGATTTGACAAAACAGCTTCCAGAATCTCTCCCAGTTCAGTGCTGGATTTGGCTAAAATCTCCTCAAAGCAGAAGCTCTGAACTACAACCTGTAAGTGTTTTTATTTGTTAAAATTGATCATGACGTGTACAGTGTCTAGCGTTAACGGTATGCTGTAGCAACGATGTAAACTATGGGAAATGCTGCTTTGCGGGCAAACGATCTAGCTACAAATTCATATTCTTCAGTCAAACTGCTGTAAACACATACACACACACACACACACACACACACACACACTCCACCAGCATGTTTGTGTCTCTTATGTGTTCTCTATAGGTAGCTTTTCCATGTGTTTCACATCTCAGATAATAAAGTCGCAAAAGATATGTGGATGATTCATATTGCTCACACCTGCATATTCCGGATAAATGTGAAAGGCGTTGTGTAATAATCAAAAATCAAAAACAAATCTTAAAAATCAAAAACAAATCTTAATGGTAAAAGACTAGTTTCCAACAAATGACACCAATAGTACAATGATGTAGATCCACCTAGTATGTTTATTTGGATTAAAACATTTGAATTAAAACAATCTGCAGTTGCTTACCTATAATTTAATTATAATAAAAACACACACATTATTATGTTTTTATTAACACCACAAATAGGTTGTAAATGACTTTTTTAAAAAAAAAAAAGTTAATGTCTTCTTATGTTCAATTTATAAGAACACATTAGTGATTAGTTGCTTACCAGTTCACAAAAACTGCTCAAGTCTCAATACACTCAATATTTCATGAAATCTGCAGTAGAAGGCTATGCAAAACACACATGAAATCCTTGTTTACATTAGTAGGGTATTAAAAAAAACAGCTGAGTCTATTTTTTTCTTCTTCAGATAAATAGCAATGCTGTCTCCCTGTGGCCGAACACTTGCACTACGTGTCATCACTGAGAAAGAAAAATGCAGTTAGAACACTAGTAACCTACCTTAACATAAATACTTTTTAAATACAAGACGTAATGTATAACTACATTACTTTTTGGCAGTCGAAGTGAACAACTAATAATTTGAGACTTACAAACGAAAAACTTGCAATAAAAATAAAATAATTGTGAAGAACTGATAGGTAGTCATTGATTTATCCTTTTTCTTTTCTTATCTTTTAAATAAAAATCTGAATCCATTTGAGGAGGTATCATGAACAATTATCAGCTTCATGATAACAAAATCATAATATGAATTGATTTCAGAATAATTTGAAAAAACAAACAAAGTCATGAGCCTCTATTTTATAATGACTTAATTTCAATGGTTAATTATACAACTCCAAATCAGAGCTGGCACAGTATTGAAACACAAACAAAAAAGAAAGAAGTGATTTCTCAATTGACTTTCACTTGTATTTCATTGTAGACAATATAGCAAACATTATTTAATGTGTTTCTTCTTATTATTTTCATAAATAAACACAAATCATGAATTTGGTTCTAGTAACACTAGAACCAAAAAAAAAATCTGGAACAGTAAAATATGTATCACTTTGTAATGTTGCAATTCCTTTTCACAACACTTAA